CCAGTATGGTCTCGATCTCTTGACCTCGTGATCCACCCGCCTCGGCCTCCCAAAGTGCTGGGATTACAGGCTTGAGCCACCGCGCCCGGCCGGCTACTCTGCTAATTTTATTTTACTTTTTTATTGTTATTATTTTTGAGTCAGGGTTTCACTCTGTTCCCCAGGCTAGAGTGCAGTGGTGCAATCACGGCCACTGTTATCATGGTGTACCTTCAACCTCTTGGGCTCAAGTGATACGCTCACCTCAGCCTCCTGAGTGGCTAGGACTACAGCTTCATGCCACCAAGCCAACTAATTTTTCTGTTTTTTTGGTAGAGACGGGGTTTTACCATGTTGTCTAGGCTGGTCTCAAACTCCTGGGCTCAAGCCATCTGCCTGACTTCGCCTCCCAAAGTGCTGGAACTACAGGTGTGAGCTACCACGCCCAGCCTATGTTTGTTTTAAAGAAGATAAAAATTGGGGCACAGAAAAGTCAACTTGTATAGTTACAATCAGTAGAATCCAGATACAATACAATCTCCCTAAATTAATCACTCACTGCTTTAATTAATTACTCTCAACAATACTTTCTCACTATCCTTAAGATATTTATAAAATGGACTAAAATCCGTCTAAAAATTTTAAAACATTAACCCTAAACACAGGAAAATCTACAAAACCATTATAGGAAACTCCAAAACATGTGGTCTAATAACTTATCACCTATCACCCACAAAAACTATCAAACATGTGCTCTAATAACTTATCACCTATCACCCACAAAAACTATCAAACGTGTACTCTAATAACTTATCACCTAACACCCACAAAAACTATCTTTTGGAAGGACCAATCCATATTTAAAGAGGAAGGATATATGTTTTCTGTCTATATAGTCCCTGTGTAACTCCAAATAACTGACACATTCTCTACTCTCTTGGGCATAATCCACCAAAATGACAAAGGAAGAAAGTTAAGAAAAACAGCCGGGTGTGGTGGCTCACACCTGTAATCCCAGCACTTTGGGAGGCTGAGGTGGGTGGATCACCTGAGGTCAGGAGTTCGAAACCACCCTGACCAACAAGGTGAAACCCCATCTCTATTTAAAAAAATTTTTTTTTTAAAAAGTGAAGAAAAACACCAATAAACATAGTATGAGGGTTGAGTCATTAGCTTACTACCACATAAAGTAATGACGCCAGTATTTATTATTCACTAGATTTTTATTCACTTCCAAAATAATTGCGTATATCTGTCTCAAAGTCAAAGGACATACAACGACAAATGCAATCGGTAACAAATTTAAACAGTAGAACGACCCCAAGAATACCATCTCTAGATGGCTCCCTTACCAGTTTCCTTTTCTTTTTCTTTTTTTATTTTATTTTTTTCTGAGACAGTCTCACTCTGTCACCCAGGCTGAAGTGTAGTGGCACGATCTCAGCTCACTGCAATCTCCACCTCCTGAGTTCAAGTGATTCTCCTGCCTTGGCCTCACAAGTACCTGGGACTACAGGGGTACGCCACCATGCCTGGCTAATTTTTGTATTTTTAGTAGAGATGGGGTTTTGCTATGTTGGCCAGGCTGGTCTCAAACTCCTGACCTCAAGTGATCCACCCGCCTCAGACTCCCAAAGCACTGCGGGCCTGCCACTGCACCCGGCCCACCGGTTTCATTTTCTACTGCACTCTCTCTCCCTACAAATTTCCAAATGTTAATGACACTAGAAAATTCCTTTGTAAAAGTAATATCCTAAAAAGAAAAATCTGAAGTTACTTTTATAGTAATGAAACACATGAACTATAACTCTCTTTTGGGGTCCTGACAATGAACAGACGAAATACTTCAAAATATTAAGTGAAAAGCTACTAATTTAATTTTGAAAATGCTATCATAGGCCAGGTGCAGCTCACATCTGTAATCCCAGCACTTTGGGAGGCCAAGGCAGGTAGATCACCTAAGGTCAGGAGTTCGAGATTAGCCTGACCAACACAGTGAAACCTCATCTCTACTAAAAATACAAAAATTAGCCGGGTGCAGTGATGTGCACCTGTAGTCCCAGCTACTCAAGAGGCTGAGGCAGGAGAATCACTTGAACCCAGGAGGTGGAGGTTGCAGTGAGCTGAGATTGAGCCACTGCACTCAGTCTGGGCAACTGAGCAAGACTCCGTCTCAAAAAAAAAAAAAAAAAAAAAAAAAAAAAAAAAAAAAAAAAAAAAAAAAAAAAAAAAAAGAAAGAAAGAAAGAAAGAAAATGCTATCATAAAATGATTCTGTCACAAAAACAAGGAGTATCAGTTTCCAAAGCAATTAAGTACAGTACACTTAAATTTGATTCAGTCATTCTGTGTTTCTTGAAAAGCTGGTGTGGAACCAACAGATAAAAATCACAAAATAGGCCAGGCATGGTGGCTCATGCCTGTAATCCCAGCATTCTGAGAAGCTGAGGTGGGTGGATCACCTGAGGTCAGGAATTCGACACCATCTTGGCTAACATGGTGAAACCTCATGTCTACTAAAAATACAGAAATTAGCTGGGCGTGCTGGCGCATGCCTGTAATCCCAGCTGCCTGGGGGGCTGAGGCAGGAGAATCACTGGAAGCCGGGAGGCAGAGGCTACAGTGATCTGAGATCCCACCACTGCACTCCAGCCTGGGCAATAGAGTGAGACTCCGTGTTGGGGGAGGGAGAAAATTACAAAATAGGGTATGTTGGCTCAACACAAGAAGGCTAACCCTGAGAATCATCCTATAAAGGAACTGCCTATGAGAGTAGGCATTAAGCTCCGCCTAATGCCAAGTATTAAAGGGAAGGCTAGATTATACAAAGGAGGTCAGTGACAGGCCACTGTAGGTGACTGACACATAAGGCACCCTCCACATTACACTGTAACAACCATGACACTTACCTGTGTTTTCGCAGGTATGTTTCTAGTGTTTCTAAAAGACAACTTGAGTCAATTAAAACTACTTCATCCCTGCATTCCTGGGACATTAGTTCCCATACATCCATCCAACAACCTCTGCAGAAAGAACAATTATTAGTGAAAAGGGAGAATACAGAAGGGTTAAAACATTTAAAAAAAAAAAAAAAAAAAAAAAAAAAAAAAAAAAAAAAAAAAAAAAAAAAAAAAAAAAAAAAAAAAACAGAGTAAAGTATTGCTTGATTTTACCTGGCTGTTCCCTGGAAAGGTCCATAATGGAAAATGATCCTACACTTGCTGTCCTTCCTGTGGTCTTCACTACTTCTCTTATCTGTACTTAACTTCTCTGAACTGACACTGCTACTGCTCCCTTCACTGTAGTACAGTATAGTACAAAGCTTAGTGACACTCAGATAATCTGAAGAAAGAATTTCTACAGTCTAAATTAAAATCATGAATGCTTTAATGATTAATATATCAGAACATCTTTATAAATTATGATTACTCACTTTATATTAAAATGTTCATTTAAATGTATGCTCACATCTTTATATAAAAACTTCTCCTTGACTATCAAGTTTATCCGATACAAATTAACATTTGTAGTTATCAAGAGAGCAACTGGTTAATAAACTTATTCTATGAGCAAATACAGTTGGAATGTTCTAAAGTCAAAATCACCGAAAAAATTATAAACACAGACCAATCTTTCACAAATTGAAAATTCTAAGAAGTTTTGATCTACTTAATGAGATCATCATCAAGTAATTACTTTTTTCCTTTTATTTTGTAGAGATGAGGTCTCTGCTATGTTGCCCAGGCTGGTCCCAAAACCACTGACCTCAAGTGATTCTCCCACCTCAGCCTCCCAAAGCACTGAGATTACAGGTGTGAGCCACCATGCCCACCTCATTTTTTTTCTAATCATTACTTTTTAAAGGTAATCCGTGATAACAAACTATTATCTACCTTCACATGTACAAGTAGCTGGAAAAGTCATAGATTAACCTAATTATATTGAATACATTTTAAATTTTCTAAAATAAATATAGTATACTAAGATGAACACTTTATACAGCCTGAATTAATAAGAACTATGCAGTAATTTTTTTTTTGAGACAGGCCCTTGCTGTGTCACTCAGGCTGGAATGCTGGCATGATCTTGGCTCGCTGCAACCGCTACCCTCCCACCTTAGCCTCCCAAATAGCTAGGACCACAGGTGTGTACCACCACACCCAGCTATTTTTTCATATTTTTCTAAGTAGAGACAGCAGGGTCTTGTCATGTTGCCCAGGCTTGTCTCCAACTCTTGAGCACAAGCAATCTGCCCACATCGGCCTCCCAAAGGGCTGGGATTACAGGTGTGAGACACCACGCCCAGCCCTATACAATGCTTTATTTAAAACAAAAAAAAATTACTAAAATCTTCCCAGACTCTCCCTCCCCAACAGGGTTCAACTTTCATTATGAAAACTGCCACACATTTTGCTTTGTCACAGCACATTTCCCTTGGACCTGCATTCCAAGGGAAAGGTGGGTTTATATTCCATTCAGCGACAGCCTTCTTGACTTTTCATTATTCTGAACAACTGGTTCCTCTCTGTTCTTCTGCAGGTCTCAGTACAGTCCTAGGAATTCATTACACCTTTGATGCTAGAGATGGAAAAACCTCTGAACCTTTCACTTACTCTATATAGATAAATGGGTATTTCTCAACCCTCTGCCCAAAATATAAAGTCATCCACACAATTCAGCTCTGTACTACCGCTCATAAGGGCTCAGGCCAAGGTTCAGCTCCCCTTATTTGTGACAATAAAAACCTCATCTGCTCCACTTTCCGTGTTAGATCCTTCTACTCTCAACTCTGACATTTCCTCTTTTACTAACTATACTTAATTAGTATAATGCGTAATTTCTTAGAACTGAAAAACTCTCAAATTCAAGCTCTCATAATTGAGAGGGGAAGGTTCATAAAGAGAAATCAGAGCTGAAGAATGATTACCATCAGAATGTGAAAGCATTATTATTTTTTTTTGAAAAGCTCTATAAAAAATCTATAGCTCAAATCAGGATTTTATGTATAAATATTCTAGACATTATGCCTTCTATTATTCTTTTAAGATCAAGCTTTCCAAAAAAGTAACCCTTCCATTTTCTGATTCTGCTCCCACACTTTCCATTCACAGCTTAATCCATGACAACTTCACACTGCATTCACTTTTCCATCACTGTGACCTGGATTCTGCTTCCACTCAATCACTAACTGAGCTCATCAAGATCACCAATTATCTCAGTGTTACTAAATTCAATGTCCTCTTTTGGGTCCATAATGACGTGACAGCATTTAACAGAGCTGACCAGACTTCCTTGAAACACTTTTACACTTTGGCTTCTTCCTATCTGGCTACTCTTTGTCAAGTTTCTTTACTAACTTCTTTCCCACCATTAAATTCCTAGAATTCTTTTAATCTCTTACCCTTTAGGTGATCTTATATAGCATTCTCAAAAATAAGCTACAGGTCTACAACTCTAGTGTAGATCTTTCTTTCAGGTCTCAAACTTACTCCCAGAAAGACAATAACCTGACTTGCATAGATCAGAGAACACTCTCAGAAAGGCTGACCTAGATTGCTATTTATTAGGATAAAACTTAATCAACTGTATTATACTTTCCCTGGAAAAAGTCTAAACAAATTTAAAAAGCTATGGGAGGGATGGAGCAGTAAGAGATGGGAGTGGAAAATACATAAAATGGAGAATCATAGTAGCATTTAATAGTAATGGTCATCCAAAGGAGACGGAGCCTTGGCTAAGCATACTGTACTGCTTAGCCTGCTATCTATGTAGCCTGTGGGAATAACTAAAGCAACCTTAGTCAAGAGACAGGCACTGCTTAAGCTCAATTAAGTTCATTCACACTAATTCCATACCCAGCAAACAGCCTTCTAAAACATGTGACTTCCCATGCAGTGGGACCGTAGCTGGAAGGGGATGTAAAATCTGTGGAGATTTGTTTTGTATCTTAAGGTGAAAGACAGAAAAACACAGCTGTATGTAAATTTAACAAAAGCAGGTAACTGATAAGTGATTGAGAAGAAAGGAGACGGAGTGCAGAGCAAAAGTGGAAGGACAGGTCTTTGAAGGAAGGCAGCAATGAGCATAGACGTGTAAGATGCTGGAGTACTTGTTGCTTTTCAGTTCATCAATGAAGAGAATATGCTTAACAGAAAAAAAGTACCAGAAGACAAGCTCTTTATTATATACCACGCGATGCCTTCAGCCAACAGGTCATTCTCTAATGTGAAAAATTAGCCTATACTCTGCATTTAGAGTCAGAAATTCTTGAAGATACTGACAAATCTGAGAAGGAAGAAAGAGCGGGTAAAAAAAAATTTTAAATAAAAATTTTTAAAAAGATACTGACAAATCGGGCCAGGCACAATGGCTCACGCCTGTAATACCAGTACTTTGGGAGGGCGAGATGAGTGGATCAGCTGAGGTCAGGAGTTTGAGATCAGCCTGGCCAACCTGGTAAAACCCCATGTCTATTAAAAATATAAAAATTAGCCAGGCATGATGGCAGGTGCCTGTAATCCCAGCTACTCAGGAGGCTGAGGCAGGAGAATCACTTGAACCTAGGAGGTGGAGGTTGCAGTGAGCCAAGATCATGCCTCTGCATTCCAGCCTGGAGTGATACTCCATCTCAAAACATAAAAAAAAGATACTGACAAATCAAGCATGCAAAATAACAATCATCCTTAAGAAAACTTTTTTTTTTTTTTTTTTTTTAGACAGACAGTCTCACTCTGTCACCCAGGCTGGAGTGCAGTGGCTCGATCTTGACTCACTGCAAACTCCGCCTCCTGGGTTCAACTGATTTTCGTGCCTCAGCCTCTCAAGTAGCTGGGATTACAGGCGATTTCGCCATGTTGGCTAGGCTGGTCTTGAACCCCTGACCTCAAGTGATCCACCGCCTCAACCCCCAAAGTGCTAAGATTACAGGCGTGAGCAACCGCAACTAGCCAAGTAAATTTCTTTAAGTTTGCAGACTTTTATCGTGTTCAGAGTACTCCCACGTTTAGGTGTCACATAATGTGTGGTTCTAGTTCAGATTCTGATTCATACAAATTAATGTTTACAAAAAAAAAAAAACAAAAAGAGACAATAGGGAAAATCTGAGTATGAAATAGGTATTCAATTATTACAGTTAATTTTTTTAGGTGTTATGATGTCACTGTGGTTATGAAAAAAAACTTCCCTATGTTTAGAGATGCACATGGAAGGATGCAAAAGCAGAATAACATGGAACCTGGGACGTGCTTTAAAATACAAAGAAAAAGGTGGATAAATGAAGCAAGTGTGGCAACTCTTGATAATTATTGAATATTGGTTAAAAAAAAAAAGTACATGGGAGGTACAGTCATTGTATTTCTACTTTTCTGTGTTTGACAGTTTTAGTAATAAAACTTATTTATTATTTATTGCTTGAACTCCCAGGTTCAAGCAATTCTCCTGCTTCAGCCTCCTGAGTAGCGAGGATTACAGGTGCCTGTCACCATGCCTGGCTAATTTTTGTATTTTTAGTAGAGATGGGTTTCACCATCTTGCCCCTGCGGGTCTCAAACTCCTGACCTCAGGCAATCCACCCTCCTCAGCCTCCCAAAGTGCTGGGATTACAGACATGAGCCACCGAGACCAGCCAACAAAATTTTTAAAATATTTTTTGTTGCTCAGTATAAGGGAAAAAAACCTTAGTACATTAACACACCACTGCCTAATCAACTCTGTGTGTCAGGGAGGAATAAAAGTCTAAAAAATAATGGTGTTACACTGGGAAGTTAAGGTCAAAAAACAAAAAGGTGTCAATGACATAAATGAGGTATTCAAAAATTAACTTTTTAAAAATTAATACAGAGGCCAGGTGCAGTGGCTCATTCCTGTAATCTCAGCACTTTGGGAGGTCAAGGCAGGCAGATCACTTGAGGCCAGGAGTTTGAGACCCGCCTGGGCGACATGGCAAAACTCCATCTCTATTAAAAATGCAAAAAAATTAGACAGGAGTGGTGGTGCCTACCTGTAATCCTAGCTACTCAAGAGGCTGAGGCATGAGAATTGCTTGAATCCAAGAGGCAGAGGTTGCAATGAACCAATATCAAACCACCGCACTCCAGCCTGAGTGACAGTGAAAGGTTCATTCTCTTTAAGAACCTTTAATTAATTAATATTTGAGACAGAGCAAGGCTCTGCCTCAAAAAAATAATTAAAAAAATAAAATTAATACACAAGTCTAGTTTTATAACATCCCATTCTCTCCAAAACTAAGACTTTCTAAGTCACTTACAAAGTCCTTTCACACTCCATGGCTTCTCCTCACCATCCCCACCCCCAGGCAATTTTGTAGGTGACAACTGTGGCACTGTGCTAGCAGAGGGTGAAAAAGCAGCCTTGGACACTATAGCACTTAACCAAGAAGAAAACTACAAATTATTGTGTGGCAATATTTGCTTAAAAAATAAATAAATATAGAAAACTACAAATTAGTTACATAAATCCATATTGCTGTAACAGATTACTTTTTTTCAAACCTTGGTAAATTAGGGACACCTAGAGATAAGAAAGAAAAATAATTTATACATTATGACTACTCTATAGATCAAAGAATGATTACCACTACTTCGAAAACCTTAATATTAGCTGCATAAATTTCCACAAAGACTTCAACCAGCTGGGCACAGTGGCTCATGCCTGTAATCCCAGCACTTTCGGAGGCCGAGGCAGGTAGATAATGAGGCCACGAGTTTGAGACCAGCCTGGCTAATAGGGTGAAACCCCATCTCTACTAAAAATACAAAAATTAGCCAGGCGTAGTGGTGCACACCTGTAGTCCCACTTTCTCAGGATTCTGAGACAGAAGAATCGCTTGAACCCAGGAGACAGAGGCTGCAGTGAGCCAAGATCGCACCACTACACTCCAGCCTGGGCCACAGAGGGAGACTGTCTCAAAAAAAAGAATGGAGTAACCAAAGTCAAGGCACTTCTAGCAGAAGAGTTTCAATCAGGCAGTCACTCAAAAG